TAAAACATGACAACAACACAGTGCAATCAGGTCACAAAGCTCAATCAAACGCACTACAGCAATAATCATCAGTCAGTCACTCACCCATACTGCCACAACATTGAATACCCGGTATTATAAATAAAATATTTTAATCATCAGATCAAGTTTTGTCATTTGTACTTACTTCCTTTCCATACCATCAAACAGTTTCCACCTTCCCCGCCTAACCAATCAATTATCTTGTTACCCTCCATTCCACTTTATCCTCCTGACCACCAAACAGTTGCCACTTTCTCCTCCTGACCACCAAACATTTCCCACTTTCTCCTCCTGACCACCAAACAGTTGCCACTTTATCCTCCTGACCACCAAACATTTCCCACTTTCTCCTCCTGACCACCAAACAGTTGCCACTTTATCCTCCTGACCACCAAACGGTTCCCACTTTCTCCTCCTGACCACCAAACGGTTATCTTCTACCCCTCCTGACTATCAATCAAAATGTGTGTACAAATATTAAATAGAATTACTTGTAATCAAATATCTAGAGTAGCCTTACATTTTTTCATTAATATTTTAACCACTATACTCAGATACAACTTACATAATGCTCTGTCAACTGAAAGCTGATGAATTTGTTTAATAATAATAGGCTGTATAATTTATAATGTAATTGTTACAACAAACATCAGCATTTGCCTGTACTGTTGAATTGGTCATTAAAGAATATTATTTTGAGAAACCAGCTGTATGTGTCTGCTAAGGATAGCATCCCTTTATTCAAAACCTTATTTTCTATTATGTACCAAAGAAAAGATGAAATATTATGAGCGATCAGTGAAGCTCTCATAAAAGAGATCATAAACACATTCTAGAATTAATTACCCATTTTCTTACAACAGTATTGTGTGACTTAATTGTTGAAATAATTTTTCAAAATATGTGAAATCTTAGTTTAGAAAACACTTACCTACATTGTCATTTAATCTGCAAGATTAGAGTGTTTCTGTGTTATTTCTTCAAGATATACATGAGGTTTGTCACAGGACCTTAGAAGGATTGTGATGTATAATTTAGGGGCTGGTGGGCTGCAGAGATTGTGGGGGCAGGGTTGCAACGCCTGACACTCACCAGGGTAGCTATACCCAAACCCCCACCTCTGTGTAGTTAACAAACACAAACACCACATTTGTTGGTACCCAAACACCATGTCACTGTTGATTGTAGATTCTCTTTACTGTGTATCCTTAAAAATATGAGATCTCCCACTCTGGCAGCCCAGAAGAGATCACTCAGTTGGGCCTCATTTTGCCTCTCTGCTGGCAAAGAATCCCCCCCACCACCATGAACATGATGTGATTAATCTGTATGCTGTTTGTAATAATAACCCATGTCTTTTGCATATTGTCTGCTTTTTAGTTTTTGCTGTTATTTGGAACACAACTGTATCATATATTTGATAAGTCACACACACACAAATCACCTAGACTGGGACCCCACCCCCCTCTCAAATTAGTCATATTGTCTCATTGCAAGTTACATAAACTGGTTTTTGACTTCATTATTTTTAAAACACATATATTCTTCACAAAAAAAAAGGACTCTTGGTGGGTTTCAAGGGCAGATAAAAATAGAATTTATTAATGGACCAATGAAATTTCTAGTCTTTACATTTCATCCAGTCTATAAATTTGTATATCTCTTAACCCTAGTTAGACTGAGAGCAAAATCTTTATTGAATAATGTTATCCCCACCTCAAAACCATCAAAATACTGAGGTTTTTAATAATATTTTGATATGATTTTTACCCACTGCAAATGTAGCTAAAATTCTTTGTTTAATTTAAAAATAGATCATCAAATTTCAATAATCCATAGAAAATCCCCATAGATTTAATCAAGAAGATAATAGGTTTATCAGATCAGCTGGGGGCTCTCAATTGATTTTGGTGAAATTTGAAGCCTTTGAGAAAGTGCCTCAATGGAAATTGTACGGTACGCTAGTTTTATTTTGTTTAAGAACACTGTAAAGAAGGCTTTTTTTTTGGTCTTGATTCTCCCAGTGATTGTTTGAATAAGAGAAGAGTGAATGGAAAAATGTAGCAGCCTTGTATAATTGACATGGGTCTGTTTCACCCCAGCCTACGGGTACACTTGTACATATGGACAGCATAAAATAGGAGATTGCCTCATGTCAGTCATTTGGCAGTGGTTCTCAACTTAACTAAATAGACTTGTCCTCTGTATAAAAAGAAGCACATTTTTCAATGATTTTTTCAGATAAATTTGAAACCTATTTCAAGTATTTCTTTTTCTAAAATAGATTTTTAATCTATGTTCAATAAATGTTTTTCCATCTTAGCAATAATGTTCACATAATTGTTTAGATTACATAATTCTTTCTTTAAATCTTTTGGGGTGACAGATTTCATTGGCCACAAATTCTAATTTAGTATAATTATTGAACTGTTTTAACATAAATTATTATTATTTTTTTTTTTCATTTTTCTGTCCAGCGCTTCAGTTTTAAAATATCAAATGTATTTCAAATAATTTCATCCAACCTTTGTACCGTAACAGGATATCACTGTCATCTAAAGTGATTTGCCTTTTATCTCAACTTTATTGGCACTTTTCAATTATGCATATAATAATCAGAATGAGGCCTCATATTAGGTGCATTGAATTAAAATTCTAAAGATTAAATACAGATGTCCATGTTACTGTCATTCTATGAAATAATGTCCATGTATCCATAAACTGATGCTTTTTTTTTAATATCAATTGTAAATAATCAGAATCACAATTTTAGTCAAATCTGATTAGAATAGGAAAATGCATGTCATGATACTTGTTTGCTGGTTGATACAAGTTTGATTTTAACAAGCATTGTCACAATATTATTGCAGTGTGGATGTCACAATATTATTGCAGTGTTGATGTCACAATATTATTGCAGTGTTGAATACCCCCACCCACCCCCACAAAGTGCAGTGGCTAAATATACTTCATATCAATTTGTCCCCTTTTTAAACCAAAAAAAAATGAACATTTGTGGTGATTTTCACATTGCAGGGCTAACTTTGTTGGCAGAAATAATACATTTTAAATTATATTTATTTTAAACTGGTTTAAATCAAAATCTTTATTAAAAAATAGTTGTTACCAACTGTGCCATATTTTTAGAATATTTAAGAGTACTATTAAATCGTAGTGTTTGGAAATGTCTTAACCTGTAGGCTTACTTTACAATATGATTATTTACTCTCAACTGTGGCAATTAAGAGTCTAACCTGTCAGAATTTATAACACCGCAAATTGTAGTTTTGCAAGTAGATTTGTGAGAACTTTAGGAAATGTGTAGCATTCCCAACTTCAAACAGTGGACTCTGAAAACATATAATATTACTACAAGTAGTATTTTTTAAAATTATGTCAAATAATGCTCTCATTTTCATTTATTTGTAAATTTCATTCAATAAAACAGTGACTGTAAATTGTAAAGATGTTCAAAACATGGGAAACTATTTTGACAGTATGACCCCAGTGTGGCACATTATTGTGTTGGTATGATCAACCTGGCCTTTATGATTCACTTTCAGGTAATAAGATAAGATAGACTATTTTATTGATCCAAACAAATGGAAATGTTTTTTGATTACATTGTACATAAACGTTTTCTGCACATAAATAAATACATATTTTTAGAAAGTTTTCCAACTAAAACAATTTAAACACTAGACATCTACATTAAATTAATTTTTTTTCGTGTAAAAAAAAACAGCCAATCAGTGAACTCCCTTAATCATAATGCATCCGCTGTTTGATTAAAACTATGTGTACCTTAAATGCTGTTCTTACACTTTTTTTTGTGACTTCATTCTCAATGTTGTTGTGTAGTCAAGGAAACCACATGCAAGCAAGTGCATTTATTGAACTCCTGCATTCCTTCTTTGCATCACCGTTTTTTCTATGTTCTAGTTTTTGACACTCATAGAGTAAAGTGGTGTTAAGTTTCACAAGAAAATTCACTACTCTCTATTAATAAAAGCCTTTTCCAAGAAGTGTGACTACTTCTCATCTACACCCCCCCCCCTTCCCCCTCTCACCACTTTTTTTTTTTCTTCATCAGTGTAATTATTGAAGTTTAAGCCTGCCTGGAATTATATAATAAACATACTCACCAAATCAAGATTTCTTTTTTTTCCCTTCTTTTTTTTTTTTGTTAATGCATATTAGTCAGCATTTTAAATATTTATATAATTATAATACACAGATAATGAGTGAAAAGGCAGGAGTGACAAAATGTCACTCAATTCAATTGTACCATATTAGGTACTTGAGCAAAAACTCACTGAGACATTTTCTAAAAGCTATCTTCCTTGTGCCATAATTCAGGGAAATACAAACTGTGTGAAGATTTGAAAATCTTGTCCTTATAATTTAAAAAAAGAAATATGAATTGATTTTATTTTTCCCCATTAAATATGCATTCATTTTTTTTATATTTAACTTTCGCTTTGTTTCATTTCTATAACGATATTTAAAATCGACATTTCTTTGTGCCTCTGCAATGATCTGCTTATAAAAGGTGTTGGACAGGAACAGGGTGGCTCAAGATTGTTAGAATTGTCTTAAGTTTGTGACAACCAAGATGTTTTTATGGCTTTTGTCTTTTAATTCAATGATCTGGCTGACATGTTTGACATGCTCTGTACTGAAGTTGCTGAATGAATAAAGTGACAGTTAAATTATAGCTGCCTCGCTCCATTGATTGATGTTAAAAGTATAGTTTTTTTTGTGTGTGTGTTTGGATAAACCTATTACAAATACAGCTACATGTTGGAGCTCCTAAAGTAGAAACAAGTTAATAAGATTTACTGGAATACTGTTGAAAAGCTTCCACACCTCAAATTTAATTGACCGCCATCATTTCAGGCAAATAGAGCAACTCTCAAAACATCAGTTTGAAAGAAAGAAAAAAAAGCGTGAGACAGAAACACAGATTTCTTAAAATTAGCTTTCATTTATTATCATGATAAAGAATATTTCAATTTCTGTCCTGCTATGGTCAAATTTATTATAATTCCCCTGACATCCTGGGGATGTTTTCTGTAGGATATTTTACAGTCAATGCTTGAGTCTGAAAAAAAGTTGTGTTTTTTTTTTTTAAATTGTAAACAATGATCCTTAAAAACGACAAAAACAACTTAAAACTATTCATCTAAAATAATTTCCTTCGTAACAGGAACCTGTTTACAAAAAAAAATGTATAAAAACTTTTTACAAATTGTTCTTTTAGGAGGCTAAAATTACTTAAGATTTTAAGACTGCCAGAGACAATTCTTTTTCTTCTTTTATTTGATTTTTTATCTAGATTTTTACCTGGCAGAATCTGTTATTTTCAAAATGTAAAAATAAGTAGATTTTCAATAAATCAATTATTCTCTAGGTTATTAACTATACAAACCTTTTGTTGCTGTTACAGTTTTAGGCAGCATCATGACAGCTTGCTCCCAGTGCGTGGGTGCTACCATTGGCCCTGTACTAAAGCTAACCTAATTGAAATAGTGAAAGAAGCAGAACATTTATTAAAACAAAATAATGCTTTCGAAAAGAAATTTGATGCATCATTTAACGTGTTACTGAAAAAAAGATTCATCTAAATTTCCGTTCTATCAAATTTCTGTCAATCAATTATCTGTCAAATAAATTTCTTTGGATCAAATATCCTGATAAAATGCGCACATGGCCACCATGCTAATTTCAATGTATATTTCCCCTCTGTATTTTCAACATATATTATAAAAAATTAAAGACTCCTGTCTTATATATTCCCACAGAGAGATTTTCAGTGAAAGATCATGCTGACTTGATTCCACCTTAAAAATCTATTTATAAAAAAACAAACATAATAATAATTAAAATATCGTACATTTTCAGGATAACCGCAATATTTTTTTGTGCACAACAGACAAAAATTCAAAAATGAATTAGTTGTTAGTTATCCAATTTACATGGTTGCTTACCTTGTTTTGGCAGCCCTTGTCAAAATATGTATCAAAGTAACCAACAAGTGCAGTGATTTCTGCATCAGATTGACATTTGAGAGTAAACGTAGATGTAAAGTCCAGGTCACTCACTTTACAGTTCATGACATCAATCGTCTGCAAAGAATAGTAAAATGCCAATAGTCCTCAATAATTATAACCTTTTCAGAATCTTCTTTTATTATGGATGGAACGCATCTAGGAGAAGGCAACTCTGAAATCAAACCCTGACACAAAAAATACAGCTGGTCATCTAATGCATCCTGGTCTATTTTCAGTCATCTTGACTAAGTCTTGCAATTGAAATAAATAGGCAAGGACAAGAGAGTGGGGCAGACGAATTGTGCTAATCTCCCTCACTTTTAACAAAATACAGCTCAAGTCAAGACTATTTTTCAAGTTAAATAAATATTGCCTTGTTCATCTTCGCAGGCAAATGATGAACATTTTTAACTAGTTGACATATGGCCAAATGAGCTCATAAAGACCAAGAGAAATATTAACAATAATCATTACAGATTATTACTACATTTGTTTTGGTTTTTTAATCACTTACTCTTAATAATTATTATACTTATTAAAAAGTAATGCTGTGAGCTTATTGAATGCACTATAATAACAATACACTGTCTTAAAAAAAAAGCTTTAAGGATTTTGATCAAGAGTATTCATTTTAAAATATAAAGTTGTTTAAAATTTCATAATTAATAAGTGTTCTTTATAATATTTATTTTATCTACACTTAACTTACAATGATTAAATGATTATTCTCTCAAGTTACCTTAATCACAGCTGGCTCAGTAACAATAGTTTCCTTGTTAACTAGTCTGACATGCACCTCATCAACCACTGAATGCTTCATGCAAGACATCTTAAAACCATAAACATCATCCCAAAAGTCCAGCTTTGAATTCCTCATCTGAGTGTCAGTAACACCAATAACAAGCATAGAAAACTGGTCAGGATAAACTGGAAAGAACGAGATTTATGCTAGTTTATTTTACACAAAAAGTCATGATTCAGATTTCTGCATACTAATATAAAACAAAAAAACATAATTCTCCATGTAAGTATGACTCTAACGTTGATGGACGGCACTGCCTCTAGTTCACCAATAGATGGAACTTCTTCTGGTTCACAAAAATTTTTTTTTAAATTATCAGTTAAGGTCCTTTGGATTAAGAGATGTAGGTGAGTGCAATCATACTTAAACTTAGGGTAAGAAAACTTAAAATCTGAGAACCTTTTTATTGCAAATTTCTGTCATGTTTCCATAAATAAATAATAAATTATAACACTTTTTGTGCATTTTGATAAAGACACAAAAATTAATGTTAATTTACTAAATGGATCACAACCAAATTTAATTTGGGCATCCCTCCTGAATTGATGGTTCTGATCAAATTTGGTCAAATTCTGTTCACCTCAAAAGCTGTAGTTAAAAAGCATAATCAAATTTACAAAGAATAGATACCATATTAGGAATAGCTTGGAGCTGTGGACCCATCATGTCTATGATCCATTTATATCAAGACTGTACTTTATTTTCGCAAAATGGTACTTTTTAAAAAATGTATTTAAAAAAGGCTTTCTGAGCACTTTCAAACATATATTTAAACCATTTTCTTTTATTGTCAAGTTCTATTAATTAAACCATTTGGAAAATACAGTTTATGAACATAGTAGAAAGAGGATGGGTCATTCAATATTTTATATTTATATAATTCTCAGTGAGAGAAAAAAAAAAGAGTTGAAATGCCAACAGAAGGGGGCAACATTCTCATAATAGATTTTACATGTTTAAATTTTAAAAAATAAAAGTTTCTTTCTTTATAGAGAATTATGGGTTAAGATTAATTTACATTTATAAGCTGAAATTTAAAGATATTTCTTTCACTTCCAACATTTGTTGCTGCAACATATATTTGTTGATGAATATGCAAATGGAAATTTATCAATCTGCACTCTTAATTGTGGTTTATCTTGAATTTATATTAGACCAAATACAAACTATGGCTAAACATTTTCAAACTCAGCACATCAAAGACATAACTTTAACGAAGTCTATAAATATAATGAAAATAAAGCCTGCCTTGTCGAATCACATACAACATTTTCCTGTCCTCTAGCTGAAAAAATCCCCTAGTACAAATTTTAAAGAGACCTACCACATCCTTCTGGTTTGAGGTATCTATCTCTTGCCCACAAGACAGAATCAAGCATTGCTTCAAACAGAAGAAAGTAGCCCATCCACTCAGAAATAATCACATCAAACTTGGGGGAAGAATAAGAAAGAATACTTCTCATTAATTATACTAAGCTATGTATCAGATATTTCTATTTAAGTGAGTGTAATTCTATATCTGTTTCTAACTTTTTGATAAAAAACTCCTGCCATTTAGAGAATAATCCTTTTATCTACTGCTTCCTGTTACAATTCCCTTTATAATGATGAAGTATAGATTTACTTCACTTAATCAATCACAGGATAAGGAATAAATGGCTGTTGTAGCAAAAGCTAACTCATAGTATTCAGTATGAACATAGCATGATAAAAAAAAAAAAGTTTAATTTGCATATTCACTGAATAATTGTAATTGGGAATAATTATTGTAATCTTTACCTTTTCAATAGGAAGGTTGACTTCTTCCAATCTTCCTTTAACAAATGTAATCTTTTCATGCAAGTTGTTCTCTCTGTTAAATACAATTTTGAAAAGACTTAATACAAAGAAATAATTTAGTTTTGAGAATATCCAAAACTTTACTATTAAGTCTAAATAATACTTTTCGATGAACATGAAAAGTTTTTTACCAAGAGCTTTGAAGGAGTATACAAAAAATAAAATAATTAATAGATTTAAAAGTTTATTAGTTTAAGCTAAGGTTTAAAAAGACATTTCTTTTATTGAGAGAAGGGTGAAAATGAAAATACCTAGCAATATCCATAGCTTGGTAGATAATATTTGATTGGTCAACTGCTACCACATGTTTTGCCCCTGCTTTAACAGCAAACATTGAAAGGATTCCAGTGCCACAGCCAACATCAAGAATCAATTTATCCTTAAATAAACTTGGGTTTGTCAACATGAAGTCTCTGTAGCTTTCTGTCCTTACTTTGTCCTAGAAAAAAACAGTTTTTTTTCTCACAGCAACTGAGAGAACTACATTGTGATCTATGAACACTTAAATTTTGTATTGTCTGCTGAAGAAAGCATTTGGGCGAAATGTCCTTTTAATTGTTCTGTATTTTTTTCAAGTCTTAACATATCTTGTTCCACTATTTATTTACTTTACAAAGTATGAACGCAGGCCCCCATATAAAAAAACAGGGGACTTAAATTCATGTTTTATGAAGTGGTTATAATTGGAAAAAGCTTGATTTTTAGTCAAATTATATTACAATAATCTCTTTAAGTGCTCAGTAAATGCACTACCTAATTACCAATTGTAATATAATTTCATATTTACTGAAAATCAAGTCATACAATGATGTTATTTTCATCATTATATAATATACATTCCCTGGCAAAAAATTATTTTTCATTCTTAAAAATATATTTGAAAATGTGAAATATCAAAGTTAAATTTCTGAACCATCTCCAATGCAAATAGCAACTAGCATGAATTCTGCTAGAGGGTTTTTAAGAGTTTGATAAATGAATTAAAAGTTTCTTTAAAAAAGATCAACAATAAATTCCCAGTGAGATTGTGTATTTCATGTACATACCTTAAGCATGGACATGTGAATATCATGATGACTGTATGAAGCAAAGTATCCATCTTCATCATTTAATTGTGAACCATTAATTTGCACATTTTCATCTTCACCTTTGCTACTGGCCACTAAATTCTGTCCTGTAATTCTGAAATGGAAAAGTATAAAATAAGTTTTAAATGACACTATTGCTTTAAAAACACGATTTTGATGATAAAATGCTAAAAATTATATTTGAATAACAGAGTCTCACACGCAAAAGCAAATTTTATTACAAAATACACCTCACCTCAGTTTCTCGATATCTGCTAGAGCTCTATCAAGCTCATCTTTATAAATGTCTCGCTGGGTCTCGGCTTTTTGTACTCTTTCAATTAGCGCACTTACAGCTTCAGACTCTGAATATGTGTCTCCACAAGCATGCTGACTGCAGTCTTCATGGTGGTTGGTTGGTTCCAAAACTGATTGGTGGTGATTCTGAGCCCATTCAATGTCTAGTTGCAAAAATTAGTATGTGAAATTTTATATATACACATATATTTCATATATATAAATTGATCTTAATTTTACTTGATAGACTATGAAATAATCCTTACAAACCCACAGGCCTTTGCTACAGAATAGTATAGCTCTGAAAGGTTTTTTACAAGGGTTGTAATTTTAAGATTGCTTGTATCTTTTCATTTTGTAAAGTTAAAATAGAAATAGGCCACTAGACATTGTGGCTTTGTCAGCTGCCTGTTCATGTTGTGAGGAGGTCACCTCATACATTGACAATTGAACTAAATAAAATGGTCACCGAATTTCTACAATGTTTATATTAACTGTAAGTGTACGAAAAATAAATTGACAGCGCTATATTCAATTTTTTTTGTAGTTCTGTATCAATTTCCCCATGCTAATAGAGATGCCATTATAAATAGAATAGAATTTGTTAAGCAGCTACGGAAAACACTATTAATTGCGTATGATCTACATGGTAAGACAAAAATGTAAAATGTGTCCCTTTTCAGGATGAATGTGCAACACCAAATAGGAGTCATAAGACTTAAAGGAACAGTTGGCACACGAGACTCTAATAAGTATCAAAATAACAAGTTTTACAAAGTAAGTTAAGCAACCTCTGCAGTCAAGAAACAATCAGCTTTGTAATTATAATTCAGAAACCTACCAAGCTGGAGCATTAAGTCATTTGAATCTGTAGGAATCATGTAGTCATCACTCAGCCATAACGGCCTTTTTGAAGACAAATATTTTTTAAGATCCTCAGGTATGGGATGCTAAATTTATTTGAAAAAACATAATCTATGACAATGCTTAAAGAAGTTTATCAATAAAGATAATCTGTAGAGATTAAACAAATGTTAAATATTAAATATATTCTATCCTATCATATCTATCCAAATGAGAAGAAATATTTAGAAAAAAACAACAATGCACTTTTTAATTCTCACATTCAATTAGTATTAATCAATGTATAACACTAACAGGACAAAATTCTTTATTTTTTAATGAGAGTCTAAGTGAACGAACTGAAACTTAATTATATCATCCCTATTATAAGGGGAACTGAAACAAACAAATAAAAAATGATCTTTAAACTAGTTAAACAGTTGATTTCTGACATATTTTCTTAATTCAAGTTACCTCTTTTCTGATGAAGTTGATCATTTTGATGTAACCAATACAATCAACGGACCCTTTTTTACATTGCTCTAGCAGATCAAAATTGTGAATTTGTGTGCAGTGTGTAAGAAGCATATAGACTGAGGTTTCAACACACTGGCAAAATAAACAACTAACATTTCCATGAAGCATATTCATCTCTTCTTCATCCTCTTCATCTCCCAAATCATTCCATTGGCATTCATCCTCCTCTTCATTATTTTTCTCCAGTTCTGATTCACTATCAGAAACCAAAGCTGGTACATCAGAGTCTTTGTCAATTGAATCTAGTGAATGAGAATTTAAGACAAATAATACAAATAGGCCTAGGTTTATTACTACTGTAAAACTGTGTACAGTATGCTAATACGGTTAAAGATACACATAAATTTATATATGAAAACATCAAATTTCAATACAAAATAAGAAACTAAATAACTTATGCGGAGAGGAGACAAAAATGATTTAAAAAACCTAGCTAATTTGGAGAGATGTCACCATGACGTCATTTGCATGTAGTTTATTATAGTTGCAGTGAATTAGGGTTCAGGTTAGGTTGAGGGATCATTTAGGGATACATTTAGTTTAAGTTTAATGACAGAATTAACTGGTCGCGTCAACCAAGATGGCGGCCATGTGGCGACATCTCTCTAAAATGTTTCTAAAATTAATATTGATAATTTTTTTTAGGGTTAAAAAAATATATTGACATATTGAAATCTTTTGAATAGTGCACTATAGCCAGTAGTTCACCTGTGGAACCTCCAGTCTCCATGACCTAATACTTTGAAAGAGATTGACACTGCCATAACTGCATTTTAGCAATTTAAAAAAAAAAATAAGCCCACCAAACAAATCATTTAGGCCTAATTCATTATTATAGTCAATTAAATATTATTCAATCATCAACAATGAAATTTAAAATCATTCTCATTACTTAATTCATCACGCAGCAGCCCCTTTCTGATTATTATAATTATATAATGTAAAGGCTGGCATTTTTAGTAAAGGAAATAAATGGTTTCCAATAAATATAAATAGCACCCAGTGATTTTAATTGAATGTTAACAATACATGTGGCTTACTGCAAGATGCCATGGTGAATTTGTTATTTTACAAGACTAATGTCCCCTGGAAGGTGTTATTCTTGTTTCTCTCAAGGAAGAGCTCCTTTTTGTTGAGACGGTCATACTGATATTTTTTAAAGTTTAAATCTTAATCTCATTTTTTATTATTTAGAAATAGGAAATATATTTTTTTTTTGTTTTATTTTTATAAAAAAGACGGCACTATAAAAACACTTCTTCACAGAAATTTTCTTTTCTAATCAATGAGATTTGGATATGCAACTATAACTATAATATTTCACGAAATTCATTAGTGATAGGCCTATAATCAGTTGCCAATGGTGACTAAGTGGCATTACAACAATCACGGCGCCTTATTGCAAATTTATTTTGTTTATTTAACGGTGAGCGGGGAAAAAAAAGGGAAAAAGGGAAAAATTATTGTTTTTTCTGTATTTTCTTTTTTTTTTTAACCTATAAAATAAGTTATGTGCAGAGTGCATAGACATTCGTGAATATTTTTTCAAACACTAGCCTGGCCCAAAACAGTGGTTTAGGGACCCCCACTGACCCTTGATTTGGTTTAAAATTTAAAAGTAAAATACTGTTCTAAAATGATTTTGTATTCTTTTTATATCATGAGAACAGCCATGGGAGCACGTTGTTAAATTCTGACAAGATTAGGGAACAATAAGATTGTATATCTTTTGGTCAAACGCTGCACTAACCACACTCAAGCTTTGTCTAAATAAATTTAAATGGTGTTCAGATCACTGGCACTGGGTCTCCACAAATAGCTTGGCCTACATGCTGTTTTACTTTAAAGCCACCCGAGGCTAGCATAAGCTAATAATTTTACCACGTGTCAGTGAAAAACAACAATTTAGTCCCTAAATTAATTAATTAATATAAAAAAAAAATTAAAGTTAAAATTTATGAACGACGCGTGCACAAGATAACTTGTATACAGAGCCAAATAGGGGGCAGTTTAAAAAAAAAGGTGTCAGCATTTGAAAATAACTACATGGTTAGGTTTGGGGTGTGTGTCTCAAACTCAAATCACCCCGTGGGCTGCATTGGGGCTGTTTAACGGATTAAAACATCCATTATTATTTCGAAATCACCCAGTTAATATGAGAAAAAAAGACGTGTTCATATCATATATCTCTCACACAAGAAAGCTGTAGGCCTACTTGACTTTTTAAAACTCTAAAATATATGAGAGAAAAAATATTTTTTTAAATAAAAATAGTCAGTACCTGTATATAAATGGAAGGGCTCTATACTATTCTTTTTTTTTTTTTACTTTTTTTTAAAAATCATTTAGTTTACATTAGTGCAACACTTTTGCCTCAACGTGCCCATTATTGTTTGTTTAACATCCCAAGATGATGATAACCTTAGCGTTGCTACGGTAATGCTCATAGGTGGCCTACTTTATTATGAATGGGTGACTGGTTTTTATGTGTTTATTTTCATTGGCAATAAAAGCTATAACTATATAAGGCAACACATTTTAGCTTAAGAGTTCGGGCGGGCAGAGGCCGAACTCTGTAAGGTCGATGTCCAGCACCACTCGCTCGAGAGGTGTTACACGGGATTTTGCCTCTTCGTGGCGAGCCCGACTAGTAGAGGGGAGTTTTCCTTCTGAAGCTAAAAAATCCCAAGCAAAACGCATGACTTCCTACGCGACGGAAATTGGGCGCTAACATGATGACGTGTCGCCGATAATGGATATGAGGCTTGAGTTTTCTTTAAAACCCTTGCCGAGGATTAAAAACATGCGGCCTTGAGAAAGCCGCTCCTAGGTGACCGTTTCGTCCCGACACAGTCCAGACCGAACCACTCCCCGAACGGTGGGTTGAGGTAACGAAACGCCTCCCCCGGAGAGGAAGTAAAGCCGTTTTGACCCATGTCCACACAACTCCCAGGAACGGTGGGAGAAAGTTAAGCTTGTGACTACTCCCGGAGTGGAGGCAAAGCCGTGCCACACCAAGGAACGTACGGCTCCCTGGGCGGTGGTGGTGGCAACGCAACGCCATCTCCGGAGAGGAAGCAAAGCCGTTCCAACCCAACGTCCAGACCGTAAGACTCAATGGGCAAGGGGGGCTGTGACGCAAAACTGTCCCCTCATGAGTGGAACCAACCTGCCCAAAGCCCGTTACTCAAGGCCGAGTTGCATGGCCGGAGTCCCCAGGGACTACTAGGCCATGTTTCACGGCCAATGGTCCTAAAGATAGAATCTCGACCTCCGAGTATTGATCTTTATTAGCTTAAGAGTTACTTTTTATTATTTTTATAAAGTCTTGACCTCAAGCTAGAGATCATCTTTGACAATTTGTGTAGCGACCGAAACGTGTACAACTAACGGTTACTAACGAGTCACGATTTCAAGATCATCATGTTTCAAAACAAAAACAGCCCTGAAATCCCACAAGTGTCCGTATTTAACCGTTCGTGTTTTTATTGCCTTCGTCCGCAACGTTAGGTATCGAAAAAGTGTTGAACCGTGGCTTCGATTTCTTTTTAAAACTTATTTCTAAAACTGGTCTAGGCAAGTCAGTCATGATGTCTGCGAGTTCACATTTCTAAAATGTGATTTTAAATATTTTTTTTTTTTTCTTTTTTTTTCAGTGTTGTCCAAGTTAACGTCAACAAAATATTGCGTCACAAAAATGGGTTTTGGTCTTTGAATTACTAGCAAAGCTATGCATCTTTGTGTTTTGCTGCTCTTAGATTGAAGTAGCAATTTGTGTGTGTGTGTGTGTTTTTTTTGTTTTTTTCCTTCTTACTGGATTAGAAAATATGTGTGTTAAAAGGGGGATTGGGTAGAGCTCTAGTATTATGAACATAAATAAAAATACCTCAAAACTCAGTGATGTTAGAAACGTAAGTATTCATACACAGATACTTATTTAAAAATAAGGAAAGTTTGATGCACTATTTCCTAAATATGCATTTCAAGGGCGTGGAAAAGTCATACTGTTTAAAAAAAAAATTGCAGGCAACAATCCATCAAAACAAGTTTCAGTTAGATTTTGTAAAAATATGGGATTTTAGTTGTTGGGACTTTGCAATAGCAGGTAAAAAAAAAAAGTTACGCACTATACGCCTTCCATTATTAATCGAGTAGCACCAGGTCTTATCTACCATTATATGATGATGATGTGTTTATTTACGAACTCTATTAGCTAAAGGTCACACAAATCTACTGGTATCTATGAATTATCAAAATTCGTTGAATTAATGAATGGGAATAAAAATTAAAACTACGTACGCTTTAAATCAAAACACAATAACTATTATTTACCCTCGTCCCACCCACTTTCTTTAATCGACATAAGACAAAATATCACCTATTTTATGGAATTAATTTTCAATCATTTTTTAAACTATATAATATAATATATGTTATTTAATTATTGAAACGATAAAACGCAAATCCAACATCTAATCTAATTATGTTGGGACATTAGTCATGGTCAGGCCAGCTTCGATGTGACCTTGACCTTGACCTGCTGTCAGATTATTTTTAACGGGCAGGGAATTTGCAGGGGCTTCCCCTAAAGCTCATTCGATGACCTGGCAGCCAGACAGAGGCTGTGCTAAAGATAATTATTTTTTTTTTTTGGTTTTTTTTTTTTTTTTTTTTTTTTTGTTTTTTTTTTTGCGGCATCGTCGTCGTCGTCGTCGCTGGTTTTAATGAATACGTTTAGTATTTTAACGTTCGATGATCCGGAACAAATTGAATATGTTCATAACGTAACCAAAGTTGTATGTGGCCCGTGAGAGAAATCAAGCTTCTATTTACTTTGAACAGTGATCAATAACTTCACTTGGCAGCTGACCTATATAATGGTTAATTGGTAACCTAGTTTGAAGAGGGGGGTTTCTGGAAGTTATTAATAGGAGTATGACTCAGAGCTGTATAAATTTTTTATTTATTTTATAGCTATGTCATTTAGCTTGAAAGTGAAAGAAACTGAGAAAAACAAAAACAAAGGAAACGAAAGAGAATTTCCGTGAAACCAAAAGCTTGGGATAAACAAATTGCGATGTCCCTTCTTGGAAAACTGCGTTGGCCACTAAGACGATCCCTCCCGGCTCTTACTAAGAGGATGTCAGGTGCAACTGGGAATATTCTCATTATGGCAAGGTGATTGCTATTTTTTCCAGTTATAAACAACTCAAAAAAAATGCGCTGTAAAAGATTCCTATATCTTGACTTGAAACATCTTAAATCTATAGAGTGTAAAACATCTTAAATCTATAGAGTGTAAAACATCTTAAATCTATAGAGTGTAAAACATCTTAAATCCATAGAGTGTAAAACATCTTAAATCCATAGAGTGTAAAACATCTTAAATCTATAGAGTGTAAAACATCTTAAATCTATAGAGTGTAAAACATCTTAACTCTATAGAGTGTAAAACATCTTAACTCTATAGAGTGTAAAACAGCTTAAATCTATAGAGTGTAAAACATCTTAAATCTATAGAGTGTAAAACATCTTAAATCTATAGAGTGTAAAACATCTTAAATCTATAGAGTGTAAAACATCTTAAATCTATAGAGTGTAAAGCATCTTAAATCTATAGAGTGTAAAACATCTTAAATCTATAGAGTGTAAAACATCTTAAATCTATAGAGTGTAGGCTTTTGAAAATACATTTCATTTTGTTATTACACCAATTTGTTTAAAATCAAATTATTCTTAGATCAGGGGTTCTTAACCAGGGGAGGGAACACTCCAAAAAAATAAAAAAATTCAGGTTTGTTTGTTTGTTTTTTTAAAGGGGTTTGTGTAAATCGAGATGGGGTGCGATTTTTTTAATAATCAATAAGGGGTTAGGGGTGGTTACCGAACCCGAACTTAAGTGGTTACCGAACCCGAACTTAAGTGGTTACCGAACCCGAACTTAAGTGGTTATCCAACTTAAGTTTTTACCAAACCAAACCCGAAAAGAGGGTTCGATTCTATCTCTAACTAGTAACCAGCATTCACATGGTCTGTTAGAAACAACAACTCGACCAAATCCTATGACGAACATGCTAATTGAGACTT